AGTTGACAATAACACTTGGAATAACAGCCACATAGCCTTGGTATGTAATAATAATTCTACGTACTGAGACATTTAACATAGTACTTTGTATTTATAAACATTTACAACTTAATATTTTAATAAGCATAACGTGAAATGCCAGTATAGATTATACAGCAATATATAGCCAGATGAAAAGTTCTTTGCGCACACACATATATTTAAAGGCACTTTTAACATCAGTGTGACTTTCCAAAGTAATTTTTAATATAAAATTCTTTCAGAGTAATTATATGCAGTAATTTTAAGTTCTAGAATATTTTATATTTCAAAGGTGCCCTTCAGTTTTCAGTTGTAGATTTGCCAAGAACTCAAATCAGGGAAGCCAGGTAGACAAGTCCTGATTAACAGCTAATTTAACTGGAGTGCGACTTAGAATAAACCAAGGATTAGAAAGTGACCAGCAGGGTTCCCACTGCTAGTGATCATAGCCACTTGTTCCCACACACTTAAGATGTCAGATGAGTTGAGGGGAAGGCTGCCAGTTGCTAATCTTCATGATCTTTCCTGATAGCCACCAACAGGGAAAAAAACCATGTGGACAGGAATTTCAAATGCTAGAACACACCCAATATATGGAAGCTTCTCATTAGTTTCTGTTCTGCCACATTCGGAAAGTGACTATTTCGCATTTCAAAAGGCTAGGAACAGAAATTTCAGATGGGTCCCAAATGTCTAGATGATACGCTTATTTAGCGTGAAATAAATGACCTGTTACAATAGGATAGGTTGTATATGGCAGCGTTATGATTTAAATGTGAAACAGAAAGTTATTGAAAATGTACTTTTTAAGTTGTTGACCAAAAAATTAAGTTTAAATAACAAACTTTATTGCAGGTAGGAAAAGCTATGTCTTCAAATGAGACCGCAGCTTATGAGATCATGAGAAGTCTGGATGTGGATTATGTATTAATAATTTTTGGAGGTGTAATTGGCTACTCTGGTGATGATATCAACAAGTTCTTGTGGATGGTGAGAATAGCTGAAGGTGAACATCCTAAAGACATCAGAGTAAGTAGAACTATTTTTAAAAAGCATGAGAAACCCACCCCTGGACAGATGCAACACATCTGTTGCTTGGGTACCATCTAATAAAACCTTGCCTCTAATTCTGCCATACTTCATGACAAATTACCCCAAGTTTTTTAAGTAGTCATGTCTTCCCAAGCTTAGTAATTGCTTCAGCTGTTTTTGCAGTGCCCCCACCCCCCACACTTTTGATCTTTCGGAAGACCGACAGCTTTCCTGGTGCTTGGTGCCCTCCTTTGCAGATTTTTTTTATCCTCACAGGTGGACCATGTTTAGCATTAGGTATATGATGTCATCTTAATATTCAGTGACTAAGGGCCACTGGTAAATATTTTGATACAGCATAATATGTCTGGTAAGGTAATTGTGAAGATGAAATTGGAACAGATTATAGCCCTGAGTTGTAGCCAGTGAAGGCAAGAAATCTAGAAAAAAATCCAAGAACGATGATCAGACATGTACTTTATTAACACAAAATTGAGCTATACACTTGAATCTCTACAATCTGTCATAGAAGCTCTTACAGAAGTAACACTGCCACTGTGTCCTTAAAGAATTTGGTGTCCCTAAAAATGCTCCCTCTAAGCTGTGGAGTCTTGTGAGCAAAAATTCTACTTTGTGAGCTACTGACATTAAAGTTGTGAGTGAGCGATTTGGCTACTGCATAAATTAGTTTGCTCTGGACCCATCCTTACTGAGCTAAGACAAAAAATGTGTGAGCCAGAAGCTAAAAAACTGTGAGCTGGCTCACACTAACTCAGCTTAGAGGGAACACTGGTCCTTAAGTATGTACAGGTGACTTCTCTGTGTATGGTCTCGTTTTGCTACCCTGCTTAACTGGCAGGGGGTCATTTGAGGGCCTGATAGATAAAAACTAATTTGGTTTTGTGGGTTCTTTTTCCCTTTAAGGAAAGCGACTACTTTACTCCTCAAGGAGAATTTCGGGTTGACAAAGCAGGTTCTCCAACCTTGTTAAACTGTCTGATGTATAAAATGTCATATTACAGATTTGGAGAAATGCAGGTTGGTGAGATTTGTTCATTTTACAAGTTTTAAGTGTGTATTTAGCTGTTGTATGAATAGCTGGCCTTTCTTTCCCTTTCTATATGTATCCATGTGCTAACAGTGCAAATTCTATTGGAAGTATTCCATGGGGCCCCTGTGTTGAATTTCCTGGGAGCTAGCTATCACCCCTCAGGAATTTTTCTTCCCATCGCAATATAGTTTCCCACTTAACCCACTGTGTCAGAAATTAAGAGAGAAAACTGGGCTTGAGGGGACAGGGGAGTGTAAAACCAATCAAGCCAGGATCGATAACTGAAGGAATGAGATAAGTGACAGGCATGAGAATAAAGTTTATTTCAATGAAAACATAGTACAGCTGAGGCAAATATTAACACTGAACCAGGAATTGTGGGATGTTAAGATTTATATAGTATGCATCTTAGGAAAACACTCTTGTCTGGCAGTTTTATAGCACATTTAACACTCTGCTGGAACTAAGTTACACACCAGGGCTAGCAAAACCCTACTGGGAGGGAAACTTAACCAAAGATCTGAGGCAAATCTTCAGCTTTCAGTAGCTCAGCTTCTGTTGGCTGATTCAGAGCCCTGCTCTGATTGGCTGTTGTGTCTGTGCAGGACATCCAGTCATCAAGCAGCACTGTGATTTTGTGGTTAATGTATTTAATTCAGCCAAAATGGTTTTAATTTCCATGTTTTTGTTTCAAGTCATGGCCCCTCATTGGTAGGTTTCAGTGACCCCCCCCCACATACCTCTTTTTAATAAAGTCGTTGATCATCCCCTATGTGGTGATGATGATATCATATAGAGGATCATTGCAGTGTGAGCTGGAATGGGTTACTTATTATCCTTGAACGTGTCTCCCAGGCCACAACTCGAAGGGACTGAACCTAATGCCGTTGTAGCAGTTATCTGCTTGCAAATAATAAACATTGAAAAGTCACGCCCCAGTTGTTTGGATGCTCAGCCACATAAGTTTTAAGCATCCTCCTCAACATTCCATTAAATCTTGCTACGATACCATTTGTCTCAGGTTGGTTTATACCACAGATTATCACAGTTTGCTTCATCAGGTAGTCATTTCGTACACAAGAATTGTACTTGTTGTTCTTGTCAAGTTAGCTAAGTTTCATTATTACAAAGCCTTTTAACACATTCCTGTGAAGTTTACATTATCTACTGGGAATTTTTGTACATTTCCATAAGCAGTGTTGCTACAGTTCAAGTTTTTCATTAAACCATTTGCAGAGTTCTGTGTATCTGTTTTGAAATCTTTGTCTTTGAACATGGTAGCAACAGCATCTTTCTGAATTGCAACTCAACCACTGCTTTTCCTGTCATTCTGCCATGAAGTTTGGTATCTATGTGAACTCTTGTAGGGGTTAATAGGAATATATAAATTATGAATACCATTCGGCTGTAGCTCTTCAAAATAATCCTTTTATATGTATATGGTAATCAACTGATCTTTTGATCAACTTTTTGCAGTTTGACTAAAAAGCACACAAAAGGATTATTAGTTTTTTTTTATTAACAGAGTTACAGCTCTTATTTATAAAGAAAATAGTAAATTACACTCTGTGGAATTGAGTTTATGTAACCGAGTTAAGAACTGTAAGTTTGAGGTATTTTTTGTGAACCATCTTGTTCTTGAAAAAAAGAATGAAGGGGTATAGATATTTTTAAAATGAGTTGGATCTGCTGCATTACCTGCTGGTGCAAGAGCTTCCACTGGATTCCTTTCCTTTTGGCAGCCCCCTGTTGCTGCAGTATATTTTTGGGGCAGGGGCGGGGGTAAGAACATAAGAACAGACGCCAATGTTGGATCAGGCCAAAGGCCCATCCAGTCCAACACTCTGTATCACACAGTGGCCAGAAATACCAGTGCCATCAGGAGGTCCACCAGTGGGGCCAGGACATTAGAAGCCCTCCCACTGTTGACCCCCCCCAAGCACCAAGATGACAGAGCATCACTTGCCCCAGAGTCCCTATCTATACCTTGTGGCTAATAGCCACTGATGGACCTCTGCTCCATATGCTTATCTAATTCCCTCTTGAAGCCGTCCATGCTTGTAGCCGCCACCACTTCCTGTGGCAGTGAATTCCATGTGTTAATCACTCTTTGGGTGAAGAAGTACTTCCTTTTATCCGTTCTAACCTGACCGCTCAGCAATTTCATGGAGTGCCCATGAGTTTTTGTATTGTGAGAAAGGGAGAAAAGTACCTCTTTCTCTACCTGCTCTTTCCCATGCATAATCTTATAAACCTCAATCATGTCACCCCTCAGTCGTCGTTTCTCCAAGCTAAAGAGCCCTAAACGTTTTAACCTTTCCTCATAGGGAAAGTGTTCCAACCCTTTTATCATTCGAGTTGCCCTTTTCTGCACTTTTTCCAAAGCTATAATATCCTTTTTAAGGTGTGGTGACCAGAACTGCACACAATATTCCAAATGAGGTCGCACCATTGATTTATATAGGGGCATTATGATATTGGCTGATCTGTTATCCCCAGCATAGCATTGGCCTTCTTTATTGCAGTCACACACTGTCTCGACATTTTCAGTGAGT